AAAAAACTATTTAATTTATATTATGTTATATTTTTGTTCGTCTTTAATGGGACTTTGATCGAACTGGATTCATTCAAGGGGAGGAATATGTTCGGATTTATACCAAAGTTCGGCAACGCCGTAGTACCAACAGGATGTGAGGACCTTCCAGCCCCCAAAGAGACAATAAATAGATTAACATATAGAAAGTCAAGAAAGCAACACAAATAAATTTAATTGTTTTATGCCTTTATGTAACTTTTAAATAATAAAAAGTAGTGAAAGCAAAGTATGTGTGTCCTTGATTGAGTTATCGAAATTACAAACAGTTTTATAATAAAAAAGACTTAAAATACATACCTATCTCTTTGAGTATTTAATCGTGTGTAGACATCTTCTTGAATTCCAAACGTATTCATGTCAAGTTGAGGATCATTCCACATTCTCTCTGCAAATGCAGCAGCTCTGGGCCATAGACGAGCGTCAAGGGAACCTTCATCGAATTGTTCACTCCAAAGGCAAGCTTCGCCTCCGAGAATCAATTTCTTATCTAGATGCTGCTGTTGCCACGGTCTATGATTGTAGACTGTTTGCCAGGGACGATAGGGATCACAGGCTGCTTCACCTGTTTCTCTCCAACTGAAAAATTGTTTAATTTATTAAAGAAGAATGGATACAGAAGAGGTATTTGTTATTTTAACCTTCCCGCCAACTCATAAAATTAACTTCAATGTTTATTTTATTTAAGACTGCCAGTTGTGGTATTTATTAGATAATGGATATGATGATGGTTTTGTAGAAGTCAAAGCGCTCTGCCTAATGTTTGATAAAAAAAATCAAATTGTTTACAATCTGGAATATTCGACTTGTATACCCAAATTAAAATATGGTGAATGGATTAAAATGATGAGAAGAAGGTAAGAGAATATTTACTTACCGCCCAAAACCACAGTCTAAGTACCATGCATCCACATGAGAGATAATCACTTTGTAACCATCGGATAGTAAATCTGGAGTATCAGACCATTGACTTGCTCCCCAGTTCTGTACCACAACTTGATTTTTATCCAAATATTTCATAAGATAAGGTCGTTTGGTTAGTTTGCTAGACCACAATATAACATATGGGAACTTTGTTCCACCGTTAGCTGCTGTAAGTCTATTTAAGGCTTTGATGGTAAAATCTCCCCACAACTCATGCAGATCTGTATAGTTGTAAACGGTGCTTGTACGCTGAATATGTTGAGACCAACATTCTAAGTTTACTTCGTCGCCTCCTAAATGGAATATTTCTGTTTCGCCGCTCAAATCCAAGAGATCTTTGTACAGTTTTTCTAAGATATCATAGACATGAGGATTTTCAGGGTTCAGTTGACCGCAGGGTGGTTCTCCACAATACATACTCCAAGGACGTTCGTTAATACATACTGCCAGTTCTCCTAAACCTGTAATGAAATAGTTAATGTATGTATTTTCACTTATTTAAAATAATTATGTGATCAAAACAATATAGAAAGACTTAAACTCCGTTTAACATAATTTGGGATACCCTGTATAATGTAATACCTATTAAATATTGAATAAAAATATTGTGTTATGAGTAAAATTAGAAAGGAAAAATATCTAACACTGAAAAAGCCCTTCCACAACTTTAATAATTATATTTCTTTAATTAATACACACACATATACAGAGTGTTTTGGAATTTCTTTCTACCAATAGACCTTTTACGGAAAAGATTAGAAAAATTGCTAAAAAACTTCGACAGCAACATCACACTCTTAACAGGGCGTTGCTTCTCACTGTAAAACAGCGCTTCCTGGATCGTATACGCTCAGTTTGAAGAAGAGGGCTGCAGGAATAAGAGACAACAATATATTCCTGAATAAACCCTCTAGTCTATTTCAAGAGCCTGCACCTAAAGTAGATAACCCGTCGCCAGTCTACAGGTTAAAAACTTCTGGAAGGAAATCTATGAGACTGTAAGACCATTAAACGCAGTCACTCCCGCATTGACGAGCTTCACAACTTAATGTCTTAACATGCACATCCAGCGGTATGAAAGTATGCAAATTTTAACGGAGGAGGTGAAAAAAGCCCTTGAAGGTGTCAGGAACTACTCTGCACCTAGCCTAGATGGAATCAATAACTTCTGGTGGAAGAAATTCTCCAGTACCCACCACCATTTAGCTAGAATATTTAATTTTTGGATTAATGAGGGCACACCAATTCCAGAGTTATTCTGTCTAATAAGCTACTCTTAATTAAATCAGTACTTAGACCAATACTAACATAGGGCTGTCCGGTTTTCTGTTCCATGGCACTTGTAACAAGTTACAATATGCCCAAAACAGATGTCTGAGGTTAGCTCTAGGGTGCGATCGCTACGCTAGAATACGAGACATGCATGCTACTACAAATATGCCATACATTAAAGAATTCATAACAGCAACAGCTGAAAACTTCTACGCGCGATGCCTCCCTGATGAGTTGAGGGATAGCATCATCAACATACATCGGGAAGACGGCGTGCGTAGAAAACACGGTCGTCTTCATCAATGTTTGAGCATATACCGACGACAATAACAGGACCCTCGACTGTGCATAACGTACTAAACAACAATTCACTCGATGTAGATACTTGCGAGATCTAGTCGGACGGACGACTGAACGGTAAAGCTAACCGGCGAAGCCACGACCGAGGGCGCCAAGATGACGGTGTAAACAGAATCCATGGATGTTTGCACGAGAAACTAAAAATTTACAGACGAGAATAGAGACAGCCTTCAGCTACCGACAGGACGTGGACTGGGCGCTGCTACTAACTGACTCACAGCAGCGAGTATTACACTGAATAGCCAAATCCCGAAGTCGACTAGTTGTTAACTATAGTCGGACGGAAGACTGCACGGTGACGTCACCATCCAATGCAGAAATTTGCGACTCTGCGAATTCCTGTATTGGATGGGGATGCTACGGTGAAGACTAGGGATTTGACTTTCTCACGTACGTAAACTAAGACGAGACACACTCACATACAAGGACAACCCTGTTTTTTATAACGGTTTTTCAGGGAAAACAGACAGAATTAAAATCATGACAAAAACTCTCACTCAAATCCACTATCGACTCTAGTCATTGAACTAAAAATGTCTTATAATGGTTCTTAAGCAAGGAGAGGACACAGTCAAATAATATTAATTGGTACAAGGGTATAAACACGGCCAAGGTCATGGTCATTACATGGCCTTATCAGTGGAATACTTCCAAACAGCAGACAAGAAGAAATCTATTGTTTATTAATTATACTCATGATACTAAAAATGAAATGTAAATATTGTATATAATAAAAGACTTTTGAAATGAGTGATGATGACGGCCGAGGGCGATCCCGTCCCCGATTTTGGCTCTTCCGGGTGATTTTGCAGGTCAATCGTCCTGTGAATTGTCACAATAACCAAGACCATCGAAAGACCAACGTACACCGCTGATAACCCTGTTTTTTCCTAGCTTTTTCAGGGGACAACGACGAAATTAATCCACGACAAATCTTTAGACTATGACAATTACTGACGACAAAACCACCAAAATCCCTCAATAATGCCTCTCTGGCAAGGAGTGAGGGCTGCTATGTTTAGCCTAACCATTATTTTTTAGCAATGGAATATAAATACGGTGGAAACTCCACCCTTGGCCCAGGCAGCTGCTAGGTCGACT